GTCTCTCTTCTTGTTTCTTTCCTTTTTCCTCCAACAACTGCTGTAATTTCTTTTCTCGTTCTTCTTGCAACTGCTGTTGTCTCTCTTCTTGTTTCTTTTCTTGTTTATTTTGTTGTTCGAGCTGCCACTGTTGCAGGTTTTCTTGCAACTGCTGTTGTCTCTCTTCTTGTTTCTTTTGATGTTCTTGTATTGCTGCCATCTAATCTGCTAAGCTGTAGTTTGATTTTCCGCCTCTCGCTTCCATCTTCTTTTTTTTTCTATCCCACTTCTGACACCAATTTGTTACGTCTCGGTTCGTTAATTAATTTTCCGTAACTTCGTTCCAACGAAACTTTAGCGACACAAGTCCTTTCTTAAATAAAACTGGTTTATTCTTTCCGAATACAACTTTATGATGCACTTAATTTCAACAGTCGCTCTGTAACAAACGCTATAATTTTCAACAAACTTGTCACGTGCTTAATAATATTCTCTCTGACTGCAGTTCAATTACTCATTACCTACACATTGTCCCGTCACGTTGTGACCATCTTATATATACCGGACTACCCCCAATCTAGTAATTTCCCGACAATTCACGAAGGTTCGAGAAAGAAGTGGCGTGATACTAGTCACGTGACCTCGCTGATGCAACAATATTTTATTTTGATCACATGACATTGGACATTATAAGTACCATAGTGACTCCTCTATCCTAAATGGATGAGGAAAAATCAAAAATGTGTTCTAATTGTAAGTGTAATTTTATATGTAAGTTAGGAAAGAAATTATAATTTTTAGTATAACAGTTTTGGGGGTTGTTCTTATATTAAAGACCGTTCTTGAATTTATAAGATGTTTAAAGATATAGTGTAACTTTACCAACATATTAACTTAACAGTCTGCAAGGCTACATTGTTCTGTCCTCAATAGTTGGTATCTAAGCTAACTTTATTGTATTTTAAAACATATTAAAATTAAGATAAATGTATTAAACTAATATTTAATAACTTAATGAGTAGCCATGCAAAAGCTTATGTTTAGACTTGGCTATTCTGACTAAGTTAAAGAGGTTTGTTCATTAGTGTAAATGTCTTTGGTCTTATGTAAATAAAAATAGCTTAACTTCCAAGTAAAAACTTGTTTTTTGTTATTTTATTTTCAAACATCATGTATATAAACCAGTAAAATTAAAATGCAATGCGAGTGTAGATTAGTAAGAATTAAGAAGCATACTGTATGTCGGATATAAGACTGTTTAGTGTAAGAGTTATTAATTAGTTCATTTAGTGATCTAATATTAAATGATTATTTACGTTTCATAACAAGAAAGTTAAAAGTAATTATTTCAAAGGTGATAGTTATGACAAGTTTGGTTGAGTAACACGGTAAAAGTCGTGTGTTGTGTGTGTGGTTCAATTGTTATAGCATTGTTGATGGCAAGTTACTCGAATCTCGATACCTTAAGTGATTATTGTTACATTATAGTATCATTCACTTAATTGATATAAAGTTTGAGGTCTCAGTGAACAATTTATAAATATAGGCAACCAAGCGAGTGCAAGTCAAGTAAAGTAAAGTAAAAGTTCAGCCAAAAAAAGTTTGAAAACATAAAGTTAGTTGGCATGTGAGTGATTATCAATAATGGGCGATATTTTAAAGTGAATTTCACAGTTTAATAGAGATAAGGAGAATAATTTATCTTGTTAAAGGGTGTTCTAAGGTAAATGAACCTGTCTACGTGGACTTTGATGAAAAAGAGACAATTATTTAAAGTTCAGGATAAAACTGTGTTAACCCACGGGGTAATGTAAGTGAATTATTCACTGATACTATTATTATAAGAGTGGAGAAAAATAATTCATCTTGTTAACTGGATTCTGAAGTAGTTGAATCAGCCTGTATGTACTTTTGACAAGAAAAGAGAATTTACAGTGCAAAGAACTTTGTACATACGTTTGACTTGTTTTGATTATATATTATTTTATAACAAGTGGATTGTGCGCTGTCCATTTATTGTTTGAATTTATCCCCAACAAGTCGCAGACATCTACTGAAAAGAATCTGGCCCATAGATACATAAAAACCTGACAATGTAATTCCACACTGTAAAAAAAATTAATAAATGTAGGAATCCAATTAACTTAAATATTTACAAAAACTAAACTAATATTTCACTAGTAGTCTTTGTAGAAAAAGACTATTACTAGCTTAATTCAGTTTAAAGCTAAGTTCACTATATCAGTATAATAATAAATACACGAAGACAAAATTAAAAGTAACATTTGGCATATAAAACATTACTTATTAAAATTAACATTTTTTAATTCATTGGTGTTATTAAACTAGCTTTTTTTAGATAATCTTCTTGTTATAAAGAGAATAAATAAAGGACAATAATTGAGGTAAGTACAGTTGTAACATGATTGATGGCAAACAATTATGAAGGAAGTGATTAAAATGTTAATTATGAAATACTGTATTTTAACTGAAAGAGAATGTTTTATAGAAATTGAGGAAAACGGAAACATTGGATGTACTAGATGACCTAAAGGCCTAAAAGGAAGATAAAACATAACAAAACAAAATTTTGCATTTTTATTTTTATTTCAAAATTAGGTATTAAATAAGAGTTTTTGGAAAAATACCAAAGAAATGTTGCATTACATGTTTCAAAATGTTACAAGTAGATGTATACACTATGTTGGAGACAATTTTTAACAAATTAATGAATGAATGTATATTTGCTCTAATATTCTCATTATAATGGATATAAAGTATAGATGGCCTAGAAAGATAAATAAACCAAACAACTTTGTATATTTGTAGAATTTATTATTGTTACGTCTCCGTTCGTTAATTAACTTTCCGTAACTTCGTTCCGACGAAACTTTAGCGACACAAGTCCTTACTTAATAAAACTGGTTTATTCTTTCTGAATATAACTTTACGATACACTTAATTTCAACAATCGCGCTAAAACAAACGCTATAACAACGAACGTTAACTTCAACAATACGTCTCTCTCTGACTGCAGTTCAATTACTC